ACACAATCAGAACATATTCAATAAGTTTTAACATTTTCTACTTTCTACTTACCACACCGCCAACCCATTCCGTAGGCTTCAACATTGCAACGTCGTATACAGTAGCGAATTGATTTCCCATTGAGATTAGAGAATATCTGTATGAATCATTAGGATTAATATGTTGTCATGAAATATTTAAATATCACTCACGAAACAATATATTTCACTTACCCCGATTCTAACTCGCTATTCCATAAATAATCACAAATTGCAGCTTCGATGTCATCAATTCCGCTTGGAATATCCGCTTTTTCAACCTACAATTTTGCATACAAATTTTTGTCACAACAACATAATAAAAATCAAATTAAGTATTCTTTTATTAAACTTACCTTCTGCTTCTTCTTCTGGGGTGCAGGACATTCCGAATCCAAAACTGCTGCTATAACACTCTCCGGTGTATAAATGACATCGACTTCCTTCCTCCTTATTTCTTCCATCTCTTCTTCTTCCTCCTCCCTCTTTTCTTCTTCATATTTTTTCAGTTCATCGTACTTTTTTTCTACATAGCTCTTCATCTCTTTTATTTCACCCTTCAATTGAGCTCCTTCATCCGAGTATTTATCAACCACCCCCTTCACCCCCGTAAGTTCACTCCTCAAATCCACAACCTCATTCACCACTCCCTCAAATTTTTCTCCCGTCACCATCTTAATATCACCCCTTAACACCCCAACTTCTTTCACCACTTCACCCCTCAACACCTCTACTTCTTTCACCACTCCATCAATTTTTCCTTCCACTACCCCCTTATGCCTCTCGAGTGTATCTTCGACTCTCTCGAGTTTCTCTACGACTTGATCAAGTTTCTCTTCGACTCTTGATTGTCTTTGCATGATTTCAAATTGGAATTTTTTGATATCAGCCAATTCAGACATCAAAATGTCGAAGTTACTCTGTTTTGCTTCACCGTCGTCCCACTCACCGTCATCCCCCAATACAACCATCCCTCCTTTCTTCTCCTCTGCCTCCACTGCCTCCTCTACATCCTTGCCAATAACCTTCAAAATTAAATTACAATATTAAGACATTGATTATATTCTTAATATTATTTAATTACATTTATTACCATTTCTTGCTTCTTCCCTCTATCCAACTTCAACTTCACCATCACTCTAACCACCTCTTCCTTCCCCCATGCACGGATGCGTGCCACTCCGGTTCTTTCATAAGCCGGCACTGCCTCACAGCCCGACCAAAAATCGAACAGTGCAACTTGCATTTATAATAAAATTTATATTTTTATATAAAAACACAAAAAAGTGATTCAACTCATTTACCTCTAAGATTGCTATGCACCCTTTGAGGTATCTCTGGCTGCCCTTTTTAAAGGTGATTATTGATTCAATCAATCTCGAATGGATATATTCAGCCCAATTGAATTCACCCTTCAAGCCTTCATCGCAAATGAGCTTCATATATTCCTTGTTCGTTGACGTATCACCCGTTGGACAAAGAAATATCCCGACAAGGTACAATAGAACTCGGGCCTTTAGCTCATCCCCCCAATAAGATCCACTTTTGATATCCTCTTCAACTTCAGCATATGTCACCTTATGATTCAAACCATATTTGGAGGCAAGTGCTTTCCAGTTCTTACTCCTACAGACTTCTATAACACTTTTGCCTTTGTTTTGTACCCCCAATACGGCTGCAGCAGTCGATACCCCCAGAGGGAATGAATAATCACCATACTTAGCCATACATTGACTGACGTCAAATTGTGCCATCAAGGATCGACACAATTCCCTCCGAATAGGTCGATCCCTTACTTCGATCAACGATCCAAAACCTATTTCTCCCAGCACATTCAACTGACCCTTCTCCTTAAGGTGTTTAATTAATAAATTCACCCTTTTAATGCTGCATCTTGTCGACACTTCCTACATTTTTTAACAATATATAATGTTATAGTTTTTATATATTTTGTATCAACGTATTTACAAGTTTAATGAATACCTTATTTTCATGTGCTTTCCTCCGTTCTTTGTATTCTTTACTATCATTCCTTGACTGTGTGATGTAAGGTTCCTTTTCAGCATCACTCATTGAATTCCATTTGGACCTCACATCTTTTTTCACCTAATATTAAACATAAACGTTTCTTAATCAATACATTAACACTAAATACTAATACTACTCAATGTCAATTTCATTTTACATACCGAACCGCTCTGTGTGCCATCTCCCTTCATCCTTTTGCATTCGGCCATACTGTTAACATTTAAAATTTGTAATCAATTTAAAGTTTATCGATACTTTAATCCAATTACCATTTCAACAATAATAACAAAAAGACATTGATACTTACTAGAAGTACATATATCCACCCTTTGGTTGCTTTCGAGTCTCGGCCTCAATTTCAAAGTCATCTGCTCCACCAACAATTTTCCAACCCATTGACTCCATTTTTCCTTCATATATCAGTTTACGCAAATCAAATTATTTTGTTACATACACTTTTCAATATACAAATATAGATAACTACTCTTGTGGTAAAACGGTTTTCTTCAAAGAATTTGAATGGCCACACCAAAATGTGTCGGCACATTTATACAACCTATAATATCATTTTCTACCTATAATATTTAATAAAAGTATCGACATTTATATTTTTCCTTGAATATCTATTTCTACCTGCAATCGGTCCCAAATGCTTCCTTACTCCAAAACCCCAAACAACACATAAAAACCCTATCGCGATTACTGTAATAATAAAAAATTAGGGTTTCGACAACATACTTTTCGATTCGACTGCAGCAACAAACAAACAAACTTCGCTTTAGAAACGCCTTCTGAAATGCAGCAACAATTACTCTTCGATTTCAAAAACTCGTCCGTTCTATCTTTTTTCAGAGGATATTTAGCTATGGCCTTTATATTTTCATCGGATATGTTATTTATATTTAATCGATACAAATACAAAAGTGTCGATACTTTTATGTCAGGTGTCGATACTTTCGAAAGGATAATTACCTATTTCTTTGAAAGTGTCGATAATTTATTACACGTACTTACGAAAGTATCGACACTTTCAATATATCTGGTATCATTTTACCGGTTTTATCATTTTGATACCGGTTTTATCATATTTTTACATGTTATATCGTTGTGGATCGATATTTTTTTAAAGTATCGACACATTATAGGCGCTATAACTGCTTCTCTTTTAAATTCACAAAGTGTCGATCCTTATATAACGTATCGACACTTTTAAATTTACCGGTTTTATCTTTTTGTTACCGGTTTTATCATATTTTTACCTGGTATATCGTTTTGGATAGATATATTTTTTAAAAGTATCGACACTTTTTAGGATTTAAAACTGCTTTTAAAGTTATGTAATTTATGTTTCAATTTATTTAATAGTGTTTCATGTTTTCCACCTACAATATTAATTTAATAATTTAATTTACACAAAATTTTATTTGATTGTTTTGATATTTTATAAAATATTATTTAGAATTTAAATTTAACAATATTAACCAAATATAATAATAAATATGTTTTCAACAGTGAAATAAGTATGGACACTTTTATAAAAATGATATATACTTTTTTGAAAGTTATGTAATTTATGTTTCAATTTTTTTAATAGTGTTTCATGTTTTCTACCTACAATATTAATTTAATAATTTCATTTACACAAAAAATTATTTGATTGTTTTGATATTTTATAAAATATTATTTAGATTTTAAATTTAACAATATTAACTAAAGATAATAATAAATATATTTTCATAGTGAAATAAGTATGAACACTTTTATAAAAAGGATAGATAATTTACAATATAACAGGTAAAAATATGACAAAACCAGATTCATTATGACAAAACCGGTAAAATTTACTTGATATGTTAAAAGTATGGACACTTTTATAAAAAGGATAGATACTTACCGATAACCAAAGTTTACCGGTTACCAAATTTTTTAATAGTTTTTCATATTTTCTACCTAAAACATTATTAGTTGTCAACATAATAGGTACCGCTAAACCGAATTTATTAAATACATTTTAATGTATCTGATAATGTTGTATATTAGTCGTATATTAACCCGCCTTTCCTGAGATATTCTCTCTTGATGTGGATAATACTTGGTTTTAAGGTCTTTGTCAATCAAAATCTAAAATAAGATAATCACAAATCTAGTCCGTCGATTCTACTACCACGTGTCCGCATATTAAAGAACGGGGCCAACGTCATTCCTTACCACATAAATTACAGGGTCTCTGAACTTTTAGAGAGCACGCATTTTGGCCATTAAGATTTTAAAAATTATATTAAAATCACTAAACATTGAAGTCGCTTTCATTTCGATTATTTCATTAGCTACTATTCTTTAAATAGATTAGTACCATTCAATAAAATGATAAAATATATAATCACTTTCTTATGAAAATTAAGAAAAATAAATATAACTTTGTGGAGAATCAAACCTAAAACCCCTAAAAGAAGGTCTAATGTCTAAATATATATTTGAATTAATGTTATAATTTATTTTATAAATATATTCTTATAGAGTTTACATTTTTTTTATTATTAATATTTTTTATATCATAAATTATAAATAATATTTATAAAATTAATATATTTTAATTAATGTATAAATTATTCTCATATATGTTTTATAATTTTTATTACAATTAATGTATTTTTATAGAATAAACTAAGTAAATTTAAATACAATCACACTTTAACTTGAATACTTGGTTTAGTAATTAAACGTTAAATCTCTCGAGATGATAATATGTGTTGTTATTTTATTGGATGATATTAGTTTATTAAATAAAATAATATATAAAAATATCACATCGGTTATAGTTAGTGACAAATAACATTAGTGATCGAAGTAAACGTGAATTAAAATTATTTGAAAGGTAAGGGATTATTTATGTAGTTTACCCGAAATTATATAATGAAAAAATCTCCATGAATATATCATCCGGTAAAGTATGCTCAAGAATTCTCAGTATGCTGTCAGTGAAGCAAAGCCATGAAACCCCAACTGCTTCACAGCTTTCTTTTCCAATTCTTCTTGCTTTGCACGGCGGCGTCGGAGAATGAAGCTCAGAGCACCGGCGAAACCATCGTCTTTACTACACTCGGCCGATCAGATTACGCTTGGGACATCTTCACCCTTCCATCCTCGGACCCACCAAATCCTTCAAATGAACATCGTATTACCGACGGCGTATCTGTTAACTTCAACGGCCACTTGCCTTCATCCCCATCGTCCTCTATTCTATCTCTGTTGCGCAACCGAAGCCTAATTCAAGCCCCAAGTCCACAAGCTCCGACGGGGCTACAGCTCATCTACGTGACGGAACGGAACGGGATGACGAATATTTACTACGACGCGCTTTACTGCGGTGTGTTGCGAAGTTCTAGATCGAGATCGGCGCTTGAAACTCCCGTTCGGGTTCAGGCTCCTTTGCTGGGTTTAGAAGAGAGCAAGCATCGGGTTTCGATGAAAGATAGACCGAGTTTGAGTGGGGAGAATTTAATTTACGTTTCAACTCATGAGGACCCGGGTGAACCCAGGACGAGTTGGGCTGCTGTGTACTCCACTCATTTAGGGACCGGGTTGACTCGACGACTCACTCCTTACGGAGTAGCCGATTTCAGCCCCGCAGTGTCTCCATCTGGGGTTTGGACAGCTGTGGCTTCGTACGGGGAAGATGGTTGGGATGGAGAAGTGGAAGAACTGAGTACTAATATTTATATTTTCTTGACTCGTGATGCGACTAACCGAGTCAAGGTTGTTGAACACGGTGGGTGGCCGTGTTGGGTTGATGACTCGACTCTGTATTTCCATCGGAAAAGTGATGACCAGTGGATGAGCGTTTACAAAGCAACTTTCCCTAAAGATAAACCGATTTTAGCCAACTCAGTGAAGATTCAACGAGTCACACCACCGGGTCTCCATGCTTTCACCCCAGCTACTTCACCAGGTAACCATATGTTCATAGCATTAGCTACAAGAAGACCCAATTCAAGTTTTCGTCACATAGAGCTCTTTGACACTGTTAAAAACGAGTTTATTGAGCTAACTCGACATGTGTCTCCTACAACCCATCACTTCAACCCGTTTATATCACCTGACTCAGCTCAAGTTGGGTACCATAAGTGTAGGGGAGAAAACAATGGAGGACAAACTAGCCAATTATTGCTTGAAAATGTTAAAAGCCCAGTTGCAAATCTCTCTCTTTTCAGAGTCGACGGTTCATTCCCCACTTTCTCAACCGCGGGTGACCGAATAGCCTACGTGAATTTCCCTGGTATTTATGTAGTGAACCGGAATGGTTCAAACCTGCGCCGGGTTTCCCCCTTAAATGCTTTTGCAATCGCTTGGGATACGGTCAGGAAAGGAATTCTATACACAAGTGCTGGACCGGAGTTTTCAAGTGAGAGCACAGAAGTTGATGTTGTAGCCATTGACGTCGATAATGTTGACGGATCAAACCATAGAAGGTTGACTGTAAATGGTAAAAACAATGCATTTCCCTCACCATCCCCGGATGGAAAACGGATCGTGTTTAGGTCGGGTCGGACGGGTCACAAGAACTTATATATAATGGATGCGATTGAAGGGGAGATGGGTGGGCTCCAAAAATTAACGGATGGCCCATGGACAGACACAATGTGTAATTGGTCACCGGATGGTGATTGGATCGCATTTGCTTCAGACCGGCATAATCCGGGTTCAGGTTGTTTCGAATTATATCTGATCCACCCAAATGGTACCGGATTAAGGAGGTTGATAAGCAGTGGGAAGTCAGGTCGGACCAACCACCCGTCATTTAGTCCGGATGGAAAGACAATAACGTTTACTACAGATTATGGGGGAATATCAGCTGAGCCGATCTCAAACCCACATCAGTTTGGTCCGTATGGTGAGATATACACGATCAAATTGGACGGTTCTGATTTGAAGAGGTTGACTCACAATTCCTATGAAGATGGGACCCCCTCATGGGCCCCAGTATACATTAGCCAAGTTGACGTGGTGTGGTCTAAGAGGACCCAATGTGCTTTTGAGGATTGTCATTGGCTCAATAAAATGTCTGGTGGGCGTGGCACCATGGTAGAACCGTTGGGGTTAGCCGAGTCTCAATGCGGTGCATGATTTTCAATTCTAATCACTTGGACTATTCAAAAGAAAATATAATTTTGTATTTGTAGCATTGTGAATATGCATGGTGATAAATGGAGACGGTATTTAAATGCATTAACACCATGCTCAATTCTCGTCAAGCAGCAGAAACCATGAATTTGTCGCTCTTGACATTGAAGGGTGGATTCATGTTATTTTAACAAATCCTAGTTACTTTGGTTGATTCGTTCAACGAGCGATTGAGATTTGCTATTTGGGGTTATCATTTGGAACTTGTGGATACACGGGAACGCCATTGTCTTCGATTCTCCTCTTGATGACAACGATTCGGTGTTGGTGCGTAGCTACCGCCTGCTTGATTTATATCGGGTTGTTTTGTCCAAAAATACTAATGTTTCTGCAAATCCTAGGACTAGCTCACAGAGGGTTTGTCGTTGGATTCCTCCTGAGGATGGCTGAATTAAACTTAACACCGACAAGACTTGTCGACTCACGGATAATCATGCAACGTGTGGGTGTTTTTCGTTGCCCTGCTGGAAATTGGCAGTTCGGTTTCTCTAAATTTGTTGGCTTCTGCTCTGCTCTGGAAGCGTAATTGTGGGGGATTTACCAGGGCCTCGTATGTGCTTAAGGGCTATAAACAGGTCATCGTGGAGATGGATAACTTGGAAGCTTTGAGCATCATCAATGGTAGCCACTCAGATAATATTAGTATCACTCTCGTTGCCCACATCCTGAACATACGAAACCGAAACTGGAATATTCAATTTAAGCATGTTGCTAGAACAGGAAATTGTGTGTCTGATATGCTTTCTAAGTTAGCGCCTATTGCTGATTTCTCTATCAACCACTGGAATCCTCTGCAACACCTTCTTCAAAACGACATGATGATTGGATATTAGTCTTGTACTCTTGTTGTTATCTTTCGTTGTTTAACTGTCTTTGTATTGGCCTTCTTGCACTTTTAAGATGTACCGGTTGTACTATTCCCCCCCCCCCCCCAAAAATCTAGGTTTAGAGGGGTTTTAATGAGGCACTAGTACTTATCCCCGTCTATGTTTGTCCTCATGCTTTCATACCGCTTTATCAATATATATATTTATATATTATAAATTTAATTAAAATCTTTTGAAAAATTAGCTTATTTACCAAGAATCATTGGAGAGTTTATTTACGATAACAAGAAAGTTGGTATTGGCATCGAGACCGAAAAGATAGTAAAACATGCTCGAGAAGGATCGAAAAGATGAGGGGTCGGTTAGTATTGACGGACACAAGATTTTATGTTATAATTGAACTTTTAAATTTTTTGGAGATGTGAACTTATAAAATTCTATATGACTAGAAGACGAAAACAAATCATTATAAAAAAAAGTAAAATATATAATAATTTTAATTTTTTAGGGGATGATTGATCAGACAGTTCCCTCCCTATACATCCATAGGTTGATGATAAGAAAGAGAATGAAATTTGGGGAAGAGGCAAAAATATGATAGATTAATTTAGGAAAAAAACTTACGGACTAATATAAGAAAAATGGATGTCCCTTGTTCCCATATGTAATGGGTAAGGGAGAGGTAAGATAATAGGCTGCCCCCAACACTAGGTTGAGAACAGCTTCCGTAGGAGACCTCTGAATTATGAAATACCCTCCATGGGATTCGATCCCACGACCTCAAGGTTAAGAACCTTGTGCTCTACCAACTGAGCTGGAAGATCATTTTTACAGACTAATATAAGAAATGTTGCCAAATGTAGGGACTACATGAATCTTTATCCCAAGCAACAATTACAATCTCACATTGAAAAAACTTAAAATTTAAATAATAGAGTAGAGGGTCAAGAAAGCCTTAAGCTTTAAAAATCAATTAAGTAATTTGAAAAACCTTACACCCTTATTGAGCACTTGATGACTGAAATTAAATTAATTAAATTCCTTCGTTAGCGGACCTGTTTGAATGTTAATGGATGTGAGCGTACCAAATGCAGACCCTCTAATCATAAATGTGCCATCCACGTAAAGTCCTTTTTTATTACATGACCGTATAAAAAAGTGTAAATTAAGTATTTAACACCTAAATTATCGGTTTTGATCAGTTTTAGTACTTACATTTTCAAATTTTTTAAAATCATATCTAAAATTTAGTTTTTGTTTTATTTTAGTACCATGTCGTTAAAAAATTTATTTTTTATTTCATTTTAAAATCTAAACTTTAGTTTTTACTGTTGATTCTGGTGTGTTGGTTCTTCCTAAAATTGTGATCAGAAGAATTGAACAACTGTGCATGAGATTCTTTTTGGAAAAGAAGTGATACTTTTGCTAAGGGAGCAAGGGTTAGCTACGGGCAGATTTGTAGATTAAAGTCTGAGGGGGCCTGGGATTAAAGGATTTATCTTGCTAGAATAGATCATGCAGTTTGCTACTCATTAAAAACATCCTTGCATATGAGGGCACTTTGTGGGTGGCTTGGATTAAGGATTATGCTTTGAAAGGCCAGGATTATTGGTTTGTTGGTTGTAAACTGAGCCACAGCTGGGAATTGAAGAAGCTACTTAAATTAAGAGGGGAGGTTGCGATTTTGTTTGCTGGAAGAGTGGACTGGGGGAAAGTGAGTTGTAGGTAGATTTCGAAGAGTATAAGGAGCAAGAAGGCGAAATTTAATTGGCATAAGATAATCTGGTTTGCTTGGCATGTACCTAAATTTTCAATTGTGTCCTGGATGGTCATCCTTGATAGGCTTTCTGTTATGTACACTGTGTGGCTTGCTCGTATGTGCATTGTGATGGACAGAGACTGTTCACTGTGTGGCTTGGATAATGAATCTAGTGATCATATTTTTAGTGTTTGTCCTTATGCTTGTTGTGTGTGGAATGTTGTAATGCATACTTGCAGGCTGAGGGGTTGGGATGAGAGCTTGAACTGGGTGATTTGTAACTTGAGAGGTCATTCTCTAATTGTGTGCATCTTGAAGATTGCTTGGACCAGCTTTCTGTATTATACATGGGAAGAGTGTAATTGCAGAATTTTTAAGGGAGTTGAGAGACCCTCAGAAGTGGTATATAGAAAGATTAAAGATGTTGTGGGCTCTAGGCTGTTGCATCAATATGCAAGATAGGGTGAATTTTTAGCTTTGCGCAGATTGGGGAAGAGTGTGATTTGCTTGAGCTTTTGGTTTGGTTGTACTGGTGTAGTCTGGTGTATTGTTGCAGTTGTAGTTGCATCCTTTCTGGATTTGGAATGGAAATTACTTGTCCAAAAATAATATCAATGTTCAAAATTTAACGTTAAGTTTTGAAAAAGAAATAAAAATTTAGGTATTAAAATTGACCAAAGCTTATAGTTTAGATACTAAACGTGTTAAGTTTTTAATGGTGAGTCTATAAAATGAAATGAAAATTATACGTTAAGTATGATTTTGAAAAATTAAAAGTTTAGATATTAAAACAAAGCAAAATTAATAATTTAAATACTAAATACATAATTTACTCCATAAAAATTATTAAAAAAATTACCTAACCCATTCCTCTCATCGATCATCAGTAAACAATGATTTTTTAATATAAATTTCTTCATTATACTGCCATTGCCCCTTCTTGAGACCTTATAATAAAGTAATACATCCTATAGTTCCATTAAATTTATTCTTTTTATTAAAGAGCCATTTTCAGAGCTCACCTTGTGTTAAAACTATTGTTTTTAAAATGGAATAAATTGTAATTTATTTTAAAATATTTTCTAGATAATGTTTTATACATCCATATCATGTAAATCGGCAATCGCATCTAGCGGGCCCTGTTCTGGATAAAAATTGACAAAAGGGGTCTCCAAATCTAAAGGACCTCAAATAAAATAACGATAATTATAAATTTAATCCAACCATTTATTCTTCTGCCACGTGGATGATATATAATGTTATATATGACGGGTCAACAGATTTATCAAATCACGTCACCCCTTACCACATAGAAGGACAAAAGTAATTAAAAAGTATCCCTTAAATAGATCGTCACTGGCATCTCCCGTCCAGTGCATCGAATCACAACCATGAACACCCAATTGCTTCTCACCTTATATCTTCTTCATCTCTTCCTTCTATGCACGGCGGCGCCGGAGCATGAACCTCCGATCAATAGTGGTAGCATCGTTTTCGCTACGTCTGGGCGAACAAATTATGCGTGGGACATCTTTTCGCTCCCAACTTCCGGCCAACCAAATCCTTCAAATGAACTAAGGGTTACCGACGGCGAGTCCGTTAACTTCAACGGCCACTTCCCGTCCACCTCAGCTTCCTCTATTCTCTCTCTTTTACACAACCGAAGCCTCATTCAAGCCCCGAAAGCTCCAGCGCCGGAGCTCCAGCTCATCTATGTGACGGAACGGAACGGGATGCCGAATGTTTACTATGATGCGCTTTATTACAGTGCGCCGCAGAGTACTAGATCGAGATCGGCGCTTGAAATTCCCGTCCGAGTTCAAGCTCCTTTGCTGGGTTTAGAAGATACTAAGAATCGGGTTTCGATGAAAGATAGGCCGAGTTTGAGTGGGGAGAATTTGATTTACGTGTCAACTCACGAGGACCCCGGTGAACCCAGGACGAGTTGGGCTGCTGTCTATTCAACTCATTTGGGAACCGGGTTAACTCGAAGACTCACTCCTTACGGAGTAGCCGATTTCAGCCCCGCCGTGTCTCCATCTGGGGTTTGGACAGCTGTGGCTTCGTACGGGGGAGATGGTTGGGATGGAGAAGTGGAAGAACTGAGTACTGATATTTATGTTTTCTTGACTCGCGATGGGACTAACCGAGTGAAGGTTGTTGAACACGGTGGGTGGCCGTGTTGGGTTGATGACTCGACTCTGTATTTCCATCGGAATAGTGAAGACCAGTGGATGAGCGTTTATAAAGCAACTTTCCCTAAAGATAAACCGGTTTACGCCAACTCAGTGACAATTCAACGAGTCACACCACCGGGTTTCCACGCTTTCACCCCAGCTACTTCCCCAGGTAACCACAAGTTCATAGCAGTAGCAACAAGAAGACCCAATTCAAATTTTCGTCACGTAGAGCTGTTTGACACTGTTAAAAACGAGTTTATTGAGCTAACTCGACATGTTTCTCCCACAACCCATCACTTGAACCCGTTTATATCACCCGACTCAGCCCGAGTTGGGTACCATAAGTGTAGGGCTGAAAACAATGGAGGAAAAACTAACATATTATTGCTTGAAAATGTTAAAAGCCCAGTGCCAAATCTCTCTCTTTTCAGAGCCGGCGGTTCATTCCCTACTTTCTCACCCGCGGGTGACCGAATAGCCTACGCGGACTTCCTCGGTATTAATGTAGCGAATCGGGACGGTTTGAACATGAGAAAAGTTTTCTCCTGGAC